AAAGCACGAGTTGTATATGCATCAGCAACCGGTGCATCGGAACCAAAAAATATGGCTTACATGGTGCGTTTAGGTCTTTGGGGCCAAGGCACTGCTTTTGGTACATTTAATGACTTCATTGCAGCAGTAGAAAAACGGTAAGTTGTGATTTAAAACTTAATAAAAAATTAATAACATTTATGAATTATGAATTAAATTATTCGTATTTGTTCTAGTGGTGTTGGCGCAATGGAAATTGTGGCTATGGACATGAAATTGCGTGGCATGTATATTGCCAGACAATTAAGTTTTCATGGCGTTAGTTTCAAAATTGAAGAAGTTGCATTATCTAAAGATTTTCGTAAAGTTTACGATCAATCTGTTGAGTTGGTATGTATATATAAATTCACATAATAAAAGTGCAATTAAATAAGTAAAGTGTAATTACAGTGGGTCGAGGCTATGCAAAAATTTACAGAAGCAGCTGAACTTATTGATGCTGAAAGTCGCATGAAAAAGACAATGTGGGGACAGTTTTGGTCATCACATCAGCGTTTTTTCAAGTACCTTTGTATAGCAGCGAAGGTAAATCATGCAGTGCATGTAGCACGAGAGGCTATTAAATATGGAAAATGTGTAGTAATTGGTTTGCAATCGACTGGTGAGGCGCGTACGCTTGAGCAACTGGAACGGGACGATGGTGAACTAAATGATTTTGTATCAACAGCTAAGTAAGTTTTTGTGACTACCTTACTTTGTTTATGTATAAAATTTAATTAATATTTTTTCTTGTGTTAGGGGCGTATTTCAGTCTTTGGTGGAAAAACACTTTCCAGCGCCTGATCGAAATCGTATTAATCGCATATTAGGTTTAAATACTACGGATGATAGAAAACTAACAATACAAGCAATAATTGATGAAGTTAAAAATAAATCTAAAAATGAGGCTTCGTCATCAAATATTGGTAATAAGCGAAAAGCTGTACGCTCGGATTCAAGCGATATTAAAAAATCACGTAACAATTCTTGGGAGGATTCTGGTGACTCACACAATTCATCTGATGAATCCGATTTTAAATTTACCAACACAGATTCAGAGAATTCAGATCAGGAAGTTAATTCAGATAGCTGTGAATCATCTGATTTTAATCCATTCTATAGCGGTTCAGATAGTGATAACGACCCATGGGTTAATTCACGTGCGAAAAAAAAGAAAAAGAAGAAAGTCAAACCTGTGGAGCAATTAAGTAATCCAACATCTGTAAATAACAATGTTACTGCACAAAAAAAGAAAGGTAAGATACAAAGACAAGTATAACTATTTTATCGTTTTACAATTATTTATTATATTATAGGTCCTCTAAGCACGCAGGATAAAATACAGGAACTTTTGAAGAAAAAGCAAGAATTAAAGGGTACCGTTACCCAAATAGGTTCAACTGGCATTCAAATGCATTATGGACCACCACCAAAAGACGCAATTGAACGTGCTTGTAGTATGAAAGAAGAACTCTTACGCAAAATTGAACTTATAGGTGATCGTTTACCACCGAACACACTTGATCAACTTATTGATGAGCTTGGCGGACCAGAAAATGTAGCAGAAATGACTGGTCGCAAAGGTCGCGTTGTGCAATCTGATAATGGCTCTATACAATATGAATCAAGATCAGAACAAGATGTGCCACTAGAAACACTAAATATAACTGAAAAACAGCGATTTATGAATGGTGAAAAAGATGTTGCCATCATATCTGAAGCTGCTTCTAGTGGTATTTCTTTACAAAGTGATCGGCGTGTACGAAATCAACGTAGACGTGTGCATATTACGCTAGAATTACCTTGGTCTGCTGACCGCGCCATACAACAGTTTGGACGTACACATCGTTCAAATCAAATGAATGCACCAGAATATATATTCCTTATATCAGATTTAGCTGGTGAACGTCGTTTTGCTTCTACCGTTGCTAAACGTTTGGAATCATTAGGTGCGCTAACACACGGGGATCGTCGTGCAACAGAGACGCGCGACTTGTCACAATTTAATATTGATAATAAATATGGACGTACTGCTTTAGAAACTGTGATGAAAACTATAATGGGCTATGAGTCACCACTTGTACCACCGCCAACAGATTATGTTGGAAATTTCTTTGAAGATATAGCGGGTGCTCTGGTAGGCGTTGGTATCATTGTCAACAGTGAATCGAATCCTGGTGTTTTAAGTTTAGATAAAGATTATAATAATATATCGAAGTTTTTGAACCGCATTTTGGGCATGCCAGTTGAGTTGCAAAATCGACTTTTCAAATATTTTACTGATACACTAACAGCTGTCATTAATCAAGCTAAACGTGGTGGTAGATTTGATCTTGGTATTTTAGGTATGTTTATAGTGTTATATATCTTTTTTACATATTTTGTATTAATTTATAATTCTATTAAAGATTTGGGTGCTGCTGGCGAAAACGTAACTCGTGTGCAACTTATACGTTTTATACGTAAACATGCTACGGGTAAAGCACCAACGGAATTGCATACCGTACGTGTGGAGCGTGGCATGATCTGGCAAGCGATACTTAACAAGTGAGTAGTAGTAACGTATTTGGATTCCCTCAACAGTAAGGGTTTAAGGGTTTCACTAAAGTTTACAAGATACATCGCTCTTTTATGTTTCTTTACTAATATTAATTGATTTCAGATATGCTGATCTCAACGGTAAATATGATGGCTTTTATTTATCGCATCAAACACGCAACAATAAGCGAACAGCTATACTGGCTGTTGAAATTGAAGCAACTGAAACATCAAAGCATAAGAAACACGAAAAACCCAGTAAGAAAGATATGATGTTTAGGGTTTATCGTCCAAATACAGGGCTACAAGTTCGAAACGAATCATTGGCTGAAATTGAAAAGAAATACAAAAAAGTTGGTAGCGAGGAAGCAGAGACACATTGGATAGCACAGTATGATGCTTCAGTCAATATTTGTTCGCATGCATACTGGAATGGGAATTGCAGAAACGTTAACATGGGTTGTGAATGTGAGGTTAGTTCGCATCCGGAATTTTTTCACAAATCAAATTGGTAATAATAATTTTTGGATTTATAGGTGGGCTTACGTCAACGCCTTTATTATGTGCTAGCTGGATCTGTGCTATCGGTTTGGACACGTGTTGAAAAAATATTGGCAATGCGAAATGCAAATAATAAAATGCAAGTCGTACGTATGAAAACTACTGAAGGAGAAAAAATTGTTGGTACATTAGTACCAAAATCATGTTATGAATTGTTGCTGAAGGATTTAAAATCTGATGCCGAAAAATTTGAGGAAGTCAATTTTTAAAAATACACATAAAACATAGTATAATTAAGATAATACCACCACAATGCAAAATATTTATTATAACTTACATATTAATTACATGGAATGTTGATTCGTTCATTAATTCCATTAATTTATATTAATTACATTGCATTAAATTATATGACTTTTTAAGTTATTAAACATATTGTGATTGTTACATATAAATGCACTAACTACATTAATAGAAAAAATATTTAAATATTATTGCAATTATAATATTTTTTTCATTAATGTGACATGATTTGTTTACCTTTTTAATTTATTTATTCCTACGAGGGAAATATAAGAAACTTTAAACAAACTTCAAATGAAAACGCTTATTTATGGACTTTTTATTTATTTTATTGATATTTTTAAGACTAAAAATTTAATGTATACACATAAGTGTATATTACAATATTATAATTAAATATATATTAATATTTAAAAACATAGAAATGTAAAATATAACTATTAAAATTAATCATACACCAATCAAAATACAAAAATGCACACTTATGTATTTATTTTAATATTAATTAAAAAAAAAAACTATGTAAATTCAAAATTACACTGCAAAGAAAAAATAACTATATGAAATGTAAAAGCTATATTTAAGTTTTGCTGCCAGCGGCTTTAATTTAAAATTTATATTTAATTTACTTTTATTCGTACTTGTAAAATTATTTTAAAATTACAAATTTATAAAGTTGATAGTACTATTCACACTATATACATTTTCGGCGTTAAAAAGTTACTAAAGAAATTACTGGAAGTAATAAATTCCTCCAATGAGAGAGATATCTATAAAAAACTTGTATAATATAAATGTCTATAAAAGTTACATAAAAAATAAAAAAAAAACTGTAGCAATCTATAGATGTGAACTGTATAATAACTTCTTTAAGAAAAAATACATTTTTTCTTATTTTAGTATAAGTATGGATTTTAAGAACCGAAATTATCTTGTCAACTTATATAAAAACTATGAAAAAAATTTTTACTACAATTTGTAAATTTATTTAATAGAGTTGATTTAATTATATCTAAAAATTAGTTTTTTTAGTTTAATATAATAAATAGTTGCTGCACATTTAAATTTATTCAAATTAGAAATAAATGTAAAATTAAAAGAATTCAAATTTTCTAAATTGTGAGAATTAAAATGTAAGATTACATTATTTGGTATTAAGTTAATTTATTTAACTGATATATGAACTATTAATATAATAAATTATATTTAAGATAAAATAAAGTTATATTGTGTTTTTCTATATAATTTATACATAATTATATTCATATTTTTATAGATTTTATGGCAAAAAGAACCTTATTTTAACAGATAAAAAGATAAATATGATTTTTTGTTATATATTTTAATTCTTATACCTGTTATTAGCAGCGATAGTACAAAAAACAGTATATATAATTGTTTAATCAATAACTTGCAGAAAATAGAAATTCACAACTTAAAAATCATAATAAAAAATTTTTTGATCTGATTAATTATAAGCAAAGCTTTGAATAGATAATTTTTCGTTGCGCTTCAGTATAAGAAATATGTTGGTTCGGTTCCGCAAAAATATCTTCTTTTTTTCAGTTTTTTTCAAATTATTATATATAATGTTATGTATTATACATTATTATATATTATATTATAAATTATATATACATTATTATATATACATTAATAAATTATATATACATATATATAATATATAAATTATATATACATATTATATAATAAATATAATATTATATGTAATTATATTACATATATATTGTATATATGTATATTATATTATATATATGCATATATTATATATATTATATATTATATTTCTATTACGATTAGTTATGTTATCACAATTAAAATCATATTTTAACATTGCATAGTTAATGAATTTACTCAATAAAAAACAAGCTTATAGATTTATAAATACAAAGTTTTCTTGAGATTTTAACTTTCATTTAGTAAAGTTTTAACTACTGAAGAAAAATGTACAGGAATAAACAGATATTGAACTGTACCGTGCTGAACCGATATAAACCAATACATATTTATTGATTAAGTTGCTGTTTTAGCTTCATAAAAAGAAATTGGTTTTCGGTGTAACCGGGTTCAGACGCGATTCGAAGGCTATTTTTAGTTCCGGTTCATTTGAAATTTTGTTAAAAATAAATTTTGTTATTGTTATTATTATGTTCATATTCTTTATAGACGTTTTAGATACTTTTTAAATTTTTTATTATTATTGTTACATATATGCTAAGAAATTATAAACGAACAAAGGACGGTAAAATGTAAATATCAGTATAAAAAAATTGATGTTATGACACATTAAACAAATGTTTTTATTACCCTTAAATAATTATCATTAACACAAAATTCGTGTTGTTAATTAAATGATTCATAATCAACTTATTTGAGGAAAAAATGAATGTATTGCATATCTTTACAATTTCAATTTTTTACATCATTTCATATATAAACAAGTATTTAAAAAACAAGATGTAAAGCTATCTCCGGTTTTTTTAAGCTTTACGGTCTTCCGAAAAATTATTTTGTTAAGATTTACTTATGAAGTTTTTTAATTTATTATAATGTATAAAAAATAAGCTAATACTATGAAATTTCTTTTACATTTATACTTAATTGACCTGAACTAACAAAAGTTCGCATGTAAACGTTCAAGAAGCTCTTCAATTAAGCGATTAAAATTTAATCAATTCGTTAAATTATTTAAAGCTTATTAGAAATTTAATTCAGGAAATAATTAACCAATTGTTAGATACAAATAAGCAGTATTTTGTACTACAAAATAATATATAAATATAAATAACTAACTAAGTTCTGTGAGTTTTTCCTAATGAATTGTTCTCTTGAGCGGACGAAATTGTTAATCGAGTCATTGTCTTCTTGACGGTGCTTATAGCACTATCTACTATGGATAATATATTATCGTAAATAGTACTGATGAAAACTACTTTAAATTCCATTAGTTATATGTGAAAAATAACTAAATAATACTAATATTATATTAGCATTAATATAAAAAAAATATATATCGAAATTTATCAGCAAATAACACATAGGACGTTTGAGATTATAATAAACTATTGTGATTATATTGTTGACTGATGAAATCATTTGTAAATATATCTTTAATAATTTCAATTATTTTGATCAAGAACATTCTATATGAATAGACTGAGAAATTTATAAAAGACTCAATTAAAAACATATGAGCATGTAGGGCTTACATGCTCATATCTATTTGAAATATTAATATACATATTAACGAGTTTAATGAAATCATGAAAAAATTCCAGGTAGACTACCATCAATGGATTTATAGTGATTTGTAGCTTGAATTGACTCCAATGGTATTCTTGTTGAAAGAGACTAAAATATATAATGCTATAAATACAAAGAGAGTTCTTTATTTATTATACTCAGAAAAATTCTTTTTTTATGTCACCCGAAAAACGGAAACCGTATCTCTATCTCTCTTTTTCTAAATAAATTTTCTAACGTCAACACTTTTTAAATCCAATTGGTTCTTGAGATGTAAGTCAGTTGACGCTAAAGATTGAACTGAGCCGAATAATCTAAGTTATTGAAGACACTTTATATCATATCTATTAGAAAAGTTAATATACTAATGACCTTCAGAAGATTTAGAATAGGTTAGGTTAGGTTGTGAAAGCACTTCCACTTGGAGGCCACTTTCCACTTTCCCTTTGTGATGCCTTCAAAGATTATTCCGGAAGAGACGAGGTAAGATTTAGAATATGATTGATATAGTATATTGATAAAAATTGATGGCTATTTACATAAGCAGACATCTGTTTATTGTTTTAGATTAGTTACTTAGAAACTAAACTTATTTTAACTTGAAACTTGTATAACTGAGTATGGTTGAGAAATCATAAAATCTTTAAGAATATGATTTGAGAACTTCTGCAATAAATTTAACCCTTATTAAAATATAAAATAATCTAGTCTACGTAGAAAATACACTTAAAGACAGCAATAAATATTTTTATTTTATAGAAATAAAAACTATAGATTTTTGTTGGAGATAATGACAGCTTATTGATGCTATTATTTCTATTATTAATATTAGAGTTGGTTAATTCATATATGAATATTTCAATTTGTGGTAGAGAGCTATATTTATTGGATTTGGAAACCTTTTTTAAATACAATTATAATTAGTTTGGTTAAATGTTATTATCAAACTGAAGGCCGCAAAGTTAATGACTCACGCGCTTTACATTGACAATAAAATATTTTGTTTATAATTTCAGTCCAAACCAAAACGATTGTGCATATAATTGGAGTGTTTCACTAATTAAACTAATTATTATTACAGAAGTAGTCTTTATTTATTTTTGTATTATTAACGCATTTTTATTATCAAATAATTTTTGAAAGTGAATTTGAAAAAATTTTACTAGTAGTTTTATTTGAATTTTTGCTTTCACTGCATTTGTTGTTTTTCATTTTACTTGTTTTTTATTATTTCTTTTTAAAACTAACCTAACTTTTTATATAAAATTAATTTTTATATATAAAAATTAAGAAAACAACAACCAACAACCAACACTTCGTGGTTATTGTTGGTATTTAATGGATAAACTGTGGTAATACTTGGGCGTATTCAGGTGTAATGAATGCGGTATTTGGTCGCGGTTTGAATTTCAATCGATTCGATTAAATCAATCAAATATTCACATAAGTTAACTATAAAATAATTTGTCACATTTTGATTAGGATTTATTTTAAATTATTTGACTTCATGTTTAGTTTTTTTTTTTGAGAGTTTATCTCTTTATGACATTGTAACAAGTTGAGTCTTTGAATTTTTTGTCGTAGAGTATTTTGATGTTTGGTAACAATTTGCAGATTATACGATACTTTACTTCACATAATGGCTAAGTGGGCCAGATGAGCTTCTGCATTAAAAGTAGTTTAAAAAAAGTGTAATTGAAGTCAATTTAACAATTTAATTACTACTTTAAATAATAAAACAAAATTTTATTGCTCTTAATTTATATGGTTTGGGTTGTTAAAAAAATTGCAACACAATTAACAAAAATTGCAATCAATTAATATGTTTCAAAATAATTTTATAATTTTATATATGTTTCTGAATACGTGAAGTCAAATACATAGCTATTCATTATCTACTATAAATGCAACGGTATTTAGTACTTAGTGATAGAGCTGAAATAATTTTCGTATTCATATTCTGGGTTGTCAAGGATACGTTGTAAATGCTGCGGCCTCCACAAGTCGTGGAGCTTCAGGATAAGAAGTTTAAGTTCCTTAGAATTTCAAAATGTGCCGACATTTTCTACAAATATACATACAAGTTTCATCTATCTATTACTACTGTAGTTAACCTGTCTAAAGATGACTAATCGCTAGTCATATTCAGTTTAATATTTAACTTAGGTTAGGTTAGGTTATACCAGCGATCTCAAGGATTCACTTAGGCCTATAGGGCCATTGTGTTACCGTATAATTAAAAACTCAAGGTTTAGATTCACTTAAAATCTTCGGCAAAGCTTATAATACTTTTCAGGGAGAGGTCTTGCAGTTTTTCAATATCATCAAAAAAGAAAGTCCCTAAACTGATAAGGCGATGCCGCGCATGTGCTGGACAGAAACAAAGCAGATGGGAGGCAATTTCATCGTTCTCTCTATAACTGCGGCAGGTATGATTGAAACGGAGATTTAGACTTCTAGCATAGTTACTTAAAATACAATGACCTGTAAGTAAACCTACTACAAGATTGATATTTATACGAGGCATCTCAATGAGAGAGTTTGATTTCCTTTTATTCAGTGTATTATTTATTGAAGACTAGATTCAAAGAATAAAAAATTAATGGTTACTAATATTTTAGAGTTTACTTTTATTTATTGTATTATATATGGCAATACAAATTCTTTAAAAAGATTATTGGTTTTTTTTTTAAAATTTGGTATCAATAAAATCACGTTTCAAAATACATAAATTGAGATAATTATATAGATAGAATTGCTTCTAGCAAAGTTGACAGTCCTTAATTAATAAATCGTATTTTAATTTTATTCTAAGGAACTACAAATTAATATAAGAACTAAATTAAACAATTTAATTTTCAAATTCTTGCCTCTCATGGGGTTGCGTTCGATATAGTAAAAGCTTTGGATTAGAGATTTGTTTTAACAAACTAGAAAAAATATTGGGAGTTATGAATGCAAATTGATTTTTTACTTCACTCTTATCTGTTTTGTTGGCGCCGTGAATAATCTTGACACCTATATGTTAACAGCAGGGTGGCTAAGATAGAATTGTAATTGTACAAAGCAATTCGATATAATTTATACAATTGTATAGGTTGATTATGACGAGCGCAACAATACCATTAAAAATTTAGTGGATTCCAGTAAGCAGATAAGATGGTGTATCTCCTTCAACATAGCGTTCAAGAAAACAATATTCATTCATCTGTCATTAAAACAAGAGGGACTATCGCCATCGAGTCCAGCCAGATACTGACAGGAACATATAATATTGACTACAATATAAGATCTAAAATGATTGTGTTAATATGCTTCGTCAAGATCAAGTAGATCTGCGCTATCTGTATTGTAGTTACAAAATACTGAAGGAAAAAATAAGTATAGAGTCAAACTTCCATAACTCGAAGTATCATTTTGTAAAGAAAAGGTTCGACTTATGGAGACTTCGAGTTATAAAATATTTTTATTTTTATTTTTTTATTTTTGAAAGAAACTAGAATTTTATTTTTAGATTAATATTTATTGGGGTTTTTGAATAACAAAGAAAGAAATAAAGGACAAACACAAAAATTTATTTTAATTTTATTGAAGTTTGGCTGACCATACAACGCTGTTTCGAGTATTGCCAAGTACTCTTTGGAAATAATCGAATTTTATTTAATTAGTTTATAGTCCGTATATAATTTGTTTGGACTGCAAGTGCCAGGCTTAGAACTCGTGCCTGTCAAATTAGAAGCGATGATTAATCGTGTTTATCCACAAGAAGCCAAGGCTGCACAAACTTTCAATGCTCAAGTTCCACACACAGGTTTTATTGTCACTTATTTTTATTTTAATTAGTGATATTTATTTATTTAAAATCAAATACAGCACAGAAATTATAGTGAAGTAAAATATTCAGCAATTAGGGTTTCAGCAATTCTCAGTAACAGATTTCAATTTATTTGAAGCCTTATAGTGATCATCACTTGTAGTATCATTCGTTTGCAAATAAAAAAATTAAAATTTTGAATGAGTCTTCTACTTTGGTTTGGAAAAAGGGACTTCCCCTATCACCAAAATAAAATTATACTTAGAACAAAAATTTGACTTATAGAATGCGCGTTCACATATTCCAATTGGCACATGTCAATATTTTTATTCGAGTTATGGAGAAATTCGAGTTGTAGAAGTTCGAGGTATGAAAGCAGAATTGTATGTAATTTGTTCTCTAAAACTCTTTTTAATTCGAGTTATAGAAGTTCGAGTTATGGCAGTTTGACTATAGTCAGTTATAGAAGTATCGTCACGAATAAAATAGTTTATATATGTTGATGTTCGAAATTATATTTTAATTTTACAATTAATGAATTTTTTAATCTATTAATAAAAGAGAAAGAATTTGAATTTAAGTCATGAACTTCTAAATTTAGTCTATATATTGTATTACATAACAACATGACAAATCAATAAAAATAAAATTAGATAATAACCATAAAGTCCTAATCTGTAAAAAATTAAAGGCGCTTGTCACTTCAGCCAATACAAATATAGATATCTTCAGACATTACCTACCACAAATTGTTGCCATAAATTATATTCCGACTTTTGCTTTGTTCCCAAAAAGAAAATTCAAGTTGAGTGAGAAGAAGTCAATTGTGCTTGTCCATAAGAGTTTGGACAAGACCACAAAAGTACAAGTGAACTAGGGAACGTGACCTGAATGGGGAACTCAGAAAACGAGTAAACGAAAAAATTCGAGTAGTGCCGATGTCGTTGTTGGGTGAAGTCGATGCGTGTGAAGTTAACTAAAGTGTGTTCAGTCGCTGTCCGGGCACGCAAAAATGCAAATTGTACGAAGACGCACGTTTGAGTTTTGTGCATGCGCGACAGTCATACTGAGTGGATTGTGCAAAATATAAATAAATATATCACAGCTTATAGGAGTACATCAAAAGCCTAAAGAAATTACTTGACATCCGCTTTATAAATACAACAACGAGTAAGGAAGTCCATTTCATTAAAGTGACAGACATCAGAGTGTAAACAATAATTCGTGCGGTTCCAAGTAGTACCAGAGGTTGGATTAACAATATCAATTTTATACGAAATTAAAAGTGCGAAGTAATACGGTGTGTTTTTAGTATTGAAATCTTTTCGTAATGAAAGCGAAAGTTTTTAGTTTAATAATTGTAGTAGCATTGCTACTAGTAAACGGTAGTGAAACGCTAAAAATAAAAAAAATTAATGACAAAAAATCGATAGCAACAATATTCAATACTAAAGAAGAGGATAGATCAACAGTAGATAGCGAAACTGACAAAGAAGTACATAAACGTGGAATATTTCATCATGGTGGACTATTAAGTGCACAAAGTAGTTTCTGGCCAAAGACTTATGCTTCACATTATGGATACAGTTTAAATTTACCAAGTTCTACTTCATTTGCTAATATCGCAGCGCCAAGTTTTGCTACTGCACATGCACCAGCAGTGCTAAAGTATCCAAGTGGTCTGCACTTCAAGTCCTTTGCAGCACCTGCGCTAGCTGGAGTTAGTGGGTTTGGTGCTGTTAACACTCTTGGAGCTATAGGTGCTGTGCCAGCAGCAGCTGTTCCTACACATACTGCCGCACCATACATTTTGCGTCCTGGTGGAGCTGTTGTTTCTTCGTACAATGTTAATTATCCACAGGCGTATCGTAAGCCAGCAGTAATTGTGCAACAAGTGAATCCTGTTGCACATGTACCAGTACAACCAATACAACCAGTGCAACATATACAGCCACTGCAACATATTCAGCCAGTGCAACATATACAGCCAGTGCAACCAGTGCAACATATTCAACCAGTGCAATCAGTGCAACATATACAGCCAGTTCATCATATACAACCAGTTCAACATGTTCTACAGGTACAATCTACTCATATCATAATATATATATATATAAATATATATATATTTATATATATATGTGTTTCGCACATTTTATTTTTTTTTTATAGACAACATTTGTGCAGCCAAATCCAGTAGCTGCACTTCCCACACTGCCAGCACTTCCAGCTGTACCTGCACTGCCATCCATACCTGCACAACCGGCATTACCAGCCATCCCAGCCATTCCAGCAATACCAGCACAACCGGCATTACCAGCTGTACCGGCAGATTTCCCATCGATACCAGCTTTCCCAGCACAGCCGGCCATTCCGTCTTTTCCCTCCCTACCATCAATTCCCGCAATTCCTTCTTTCCCAGCACAACCAGCTGCTTCAGCTTTTCCTGCAATACCCACCTTTCCAACCCAACCTGCTTTTCCAGTGATCCCATCCATACCAACCGTACAAACTTTACCACGTCCACAACGTCCACCAACATTTATTACAATTCCTATACAGCCATCGTTTAGTTTAGTACCAGGTCTTGTGCCTTTACCTGATACACCAGCTGCCACTCCACCAGATACTGGTAGTGCGGAAGCTGCTCCACAAATACCTGTTTCTCCCACAGTACCAGCACCTTTACCATCACCAGTTCCCGAACCAGATATACCTGCCGTACAACCAACAGAACAACCTTGGAAACCAATCTTATATAATCCACCCACTCAGGGCACACCAGTCAATGCCAATCGTCCTTCCATAACTCTGCTGCCACCATATGGTAGTTCACCTGCCGAAGGTTAGTTGAAATGTTTTATTTCGGATAATTGTATCTCAATATACCTTTGTAATATTCCAAATTTTTTTAGGTTACTTGCCACCGTCTGCTCCGTCTGCTCAATTGCAACAAAGCGGTAATGGAATATTTGAGCAATTAAGCGATTCTGAAATAGCGCATATCTTTGCTGAGGCCAACCTTGCTCTACAACAACAGCAGAGTCAACATCATCATCATCATGCTGCTTATCATCATCATAATTATTAAGGAATCGTCATGTCTGGAGAATAATTGGATCATCAGAATAATATGTGTCCATATGATCACTGGACCATATTTATTATGATAAAAAATAATTTACTTTTAGATGTTTAGCTATAAAGTTTTCTTAGGTAATACATTCTGCAATTTATTTATTATAGAGTTTACTTCATACATATAAAAATTTTATTAAATAATAATGATGTATTAAAAGAAATAATAATTTAATTAAATACGAATTTAATCTGAATCACTTCAATAATTTATTTAACTTTATTGATAAAGAAAATTATTAATGAAATCAGTTAAAAACAAGATCGTTCACAAAAATGTTTATCGACGGATCTGAAGTGTTCTCTATTCCTTATAATTCTCTGATTGTTTTTCCTGTCTTATGAGAACGTGTACTTCGTGAAATCATTTTGGTCAACCTCTTGATTGCACATCTTATCATATAATGCATATGCAATGAGTGATTTCATTACTTCGGTGTACAAATAATTTTAGTAAATTGGTATATCCGAAAATTTGGAGTGGCATCAGATATATTATTTAGGCAATGATTAGCAAAGCCAATCGATAAATAAAACTTAAAACGAAAGTATAGGTGGTTTGACCACACTCTACGCAAACCCTACAGTAAAATCGCACATGTTGCTCTAAAATGGAATCTGAGAAGAAATCGCGACCGATCTAACACTACATGGAGAAGGACAATTTTTCAGTGAACTAAGAACAATAGTGCGTGATAGAAAAAGTTCGAAATCTTTTGTGATTAGACTAAGTTCTTGAATTTTTTTTTTATATTATTAAATATGTCCATATTAAAAATAATAGTGATTAGGAAATGCATACAATTTTCTAACATTCAGATATATAACGTGTGTAAGGTAGCAATCACGTAGTAAGGCCGATTCTACACAAGAGTCGAATATTTGTATTTTTATTTTTAATACCCGCTTCAATGATCGCTTGAACCCAATACTGGTTTTCCGATCTCTATACTCTGAATTTGGCAGCTCACTCACAGTTTTTGTTATTTGTCTTCCTGGGTATTCGAATTGATATACCTTCTTATTGTCTTCATTGTTTAGTAAGATTTTATTGGCATTGTGGATAACATATATATTGTATTAAATTTTGAACAGTTTGTTATTGAAACCTATTTCATTAGATACAATCGGTTAATATTTATTAAATAAAAATAATTTTTCAAACTTAAAATTACCTCAACAGGTTATTAAACATTATATTTTATAAAATATTTAAAATCACACCCTCGAAAAGTGTCTCCTGTGTGTAATATTTTCAGAACATAAAATTTAATTATTTCCGCCTTTTTAACTATTTCGTGCATCATTAAAAGGACCATAATTTCGTAGTCATTAATTTTAATAATTGCACTCTTATCCTGTAAATTTTATGTACAAAATAAGCAATTTGCTGTGCAATCATCTGCAGTCATTATCAAAAAAGTAACATTAAAAATATCGACGAACTCATTACAATCAAACGATATCAACATTAATAAATATGGAAGAGTAACCGTCTTGTTAAAATACTCTTATACCGTTCATACAATAAAGGGTGTGTTGAATTTGTTAAGAAGTTTGTAACGTAATGAAGGAGGCATCAGAGACTATATAAATTATATGTATAATAATAAGTAACTCATTACAATGAAACGATATCCAAATTAATAAATATGGAAGAGTAACCGTCTTGTTAAAATATACTCTTATACCGTTCATACAATAAAGGGTGTGTTGAATTTGTTAAGAAGTTTGTAACGTAATGAAGGAGGCATCAGAGACTATATAAATTATATGTATAATAATAAGTACCTCATTATAATGAAACGATATCAAAATTAATAAAAAGGGAAGAGTAACCGCCTTGTTAAAATATACTCTTATACCGTTCATACAATAAAGGATGTGTTGAATTTGTTAAGAAGTTTGTAACGTAATGAAGGAGGCATCAGAGACTATATAAATTATATGTATAATAATAAGTACCTCATTATAATGAAACGATATCAAAATTAATAAAAAGGGAAGAGTAACCGCCTTGTTAAAATATACTCTTATACCGTTCATACAATAAAGGATGTGTTGAATTTGTTAAGAAGTTTGTAACGTAATGAAGGAGGCATCAGAGACTATATAAATAATCTGTAACTTAATCAAATTATTAAGATAAATGAAGGACCGATTGTTGTCTGTGCATTAGTCTACCTGTTCATTTGATGAACTGTATGGAAATCGGAAATTTTTTTTTTATACACTGTGATATATAGCGTAGTCATATAAGAGCTGTATATTTTAAACTTTTGAATATATTAATTTTAATTATTTACGAAACCTTGATCGGTAGAAATGATTTCTCCATTAAATAATTGATTTCCATTATTCTGCAAAATTTAATTGGATTATATACTTCCATTTGATCCATTTTTTTTATTACTTTACGAATAGGTAACTTTGTAGATTACTTGACTATAACTTTCAGAATAGATACGTAATGTTTATAACAAAATTAAATAATTCTCTTACTATGTAGAACTATGCATCTTGCTATAATAACTTACTTAATAATGCTAATTTTAGAGGGAATCCAGAAAACAAAAAAATGGGCAATGTAACTTTTAAAAAATATATAGTATTTAACCAGCTGGGTTAGTTAGTTTTTATTTGACAGCAGACAACCTAGTCAATTTCAAAGAAAATGGAAAAAAGTAAATTAGGTATTCTCATCAAGCACTATTTTTTTGCATAAAAAAACAATCACCGAGACCAATAAAAGGATTAATGACTGTTATGGGTACACTGCACTATTAATTTCAATGCTTGAGAAATAATTCACTGAATTATTTTGATACCAGCACAAATGACGATGTACGTTTTTGTAAAGCAAAAGAGGTCATCACGAGAAAAATTTTATATTAAATCCATGGTATAGTACTAGACGATAGATGAGTGAAGGTTTGAGAGATTGCTGAAATTGTAGGCATCTCAATTCAATCAGTGTATCACATTTTATATGTGATACAAATACATATGTGATAAAAAAGTTTTAAATATAGTTAAAAAAAATTAAGAAAGTACTACATTAGGTTAGGTTACACCCGTAATCCCTAGTGGAACCACTTACGCCTATTAGTCCATTGTGTTAGCGTATATAGAGGAAAGACTCGGAGTTTAAAACCATCTAGAACCTTTGACGAAGCTCAAAATTTTGTTAAGTGTGAGTTTTTGTGATTGATCAAGATTCTCAAAAAAGAGGGTTCCTAAAGTGTTGAGTCGCCGTCGTGCATGTGCTGGGCAAAAACAGAGTAGAAGAGAGACACTCTTATCTTATTTCCCACAGTTGCAACAGGTAAGATTGAAAGAGTGATTCAATCTTCTGGAATGGTTCCCTAAATTACAGTGACCTCTAAGTAAATCTACCATAAGACTGATATCTCTACGGGGCATCTCAATAAGAATGTTGGATTTTTTTTTATTGGAAAATGGTCAGATAACAAACAGATGCCTACATATTGTTGAGTCTTCCCATCAATTATTGAAAGTTTCAGCACGAAAAGAACTCAGTAACAAAAGTAAGTACTATATTTGTGTAATTTGTAAACTGTGTGACAGACATTAAGACTTCGGTAAAGCTCAACATAATTTTTTCTGTTCTTTTTTGGGTTTTAAGAAAACTACAATATGAGACTTTTATAACATCAAAAAGGAAAAACTAATTAAAAATTATTGCTCTAATATTTTAGCTTATTTACTAAAAAAATTGCTTAAAATGATTTATTTATTTTAGTAATTATTATTTAAACATTTTTTTTTTCATTGCAATGTTATTTTTATATAGAAGATATTTATTAGTATAGGCAAAATAAAATAAGTTATTACCACCAAATTTCACACAAAAAATTCTGTCATGAATCGGAAATAATTTATTCGTTTTTTTCGTAAAAATGTGAAGTATGTTCCTTTAAGGAGTAAAAAATAAAGTTTTTTTTTTGTATTAATATTTAAAATTGCTTAAAATTAATTGAAAATATTTGTATTTGATAATAGATTTCCGTTTTCGGTAGGAATTAAATTTAAATATTTAAATCCAAGTATCAGTAAATGTTTTTAATATTTAAACTTGGCATTTGATATTTCTTGGTATTTGTACTTCTAATTTAATCTTACAGTTTTTAATTAGTTTTATTTATTTATCACCGAGTAAATAATAATAGTTAAATATTTAAAAAATTATAATTTTATTTAAAGAGATTATACAAGGGGAGGCTTAGAATGCTTACACCAAAAACTCATATATGGTATAAACGTTAATGTTTATAACGTCTTTATGTGTCTTCTTGATGATTCTAGTCATTTGAATTAATAATAGACGCTGTACTTAAGAACAAATATTTATCGATGTGATTGTTACGTGATTAAAATTGATTTCAATCACAAATGCAAATCTTACATACAAATTGTCATAAGTCAATAAAGATTCAATTACGAACATAACTAGTTGCTTGATGACAAATCAAAATTATTTAATAGAAAATATATTTTAATTACAAACTTTAAACAAATAGTTCAAAATTCAGTCGAAAAGCATCAATTTAACTGCATTAATACTTTATTCAATGTACCTAAATAATTCAGTGAATATTTCAATGGAAAGTTCAAATGATTACATTTTTATAAGAAATAGCATCTTGTCATTTGGATGTTATAATTTAATAGTTCCAATCAGCTTTAAGCATATAATATTTTCTAGAGTTTATAAAGTTTATTAAGCTTGAATATTTGCATTTCTTGTTTAATAAACCTATCGAAATTTTAGAGACACCGGAGACTGTTTGGAAGTTTTTTTAAATTATTTATATATATATTTATTAAATTTTTTTATATATTTATTAAAATTTTTTAGAAAAGGTTTTTGAAAAGTAGTGAGTTACAACAACAAAAATTCATTTTTATATTATTTTTTAATTAATTGAATTT